AAGCTATGGCTATGAAACCTAAACGCGGTAATGAGGAAGATGAAGGCGATCCAAAGAGAAAACCACAAGTGAAAAAAGGCATGGATGCAGTAAATCTAAAGCAGATGAGTGATCTTAAAGGAGCTTCTAAGAGCATGATGGGCTTGGCTGCAGAGGGGCAGAAGAACTTAGTTAAAAAAGTAGATGCAACATCTCACCTGAAAGGAGCCTCCAAAGCCCTCTCAAGTATTGCTGGAAAGTCCTCTCCTTTTAGCCTGCCTTCTAAACAAGCTGACAAAGCAAAACCAAAGAGAAACCTTAAAAGTACCTCTCGCCTCTTTCTACGACTTTCCAAAAAAAAGAAACCCTCTTCTGGCGGTAAACCTCTTCTTGGGAACAGCAAGCTTTTTGCTGGCTTTGGGGGCAAATCTGGGTCTGCTGACAAAAAACCTGGTCTGTCTGGTTTCAGTTTGTTTAACAAAAAAGACGATGCCTCTAAAGAAACCACATCTAAAAAAACACTGAATCTATCAAACTTAGGAAATAAGGGTAATAAAATGGCTTCTGAGGCAAAGGGATTAGGAGGGAAGTTCAAAGGAATGTTTGGAAAAAAGAAAGCAGGGCAGGGATTTAAGAGTAAAAGCTGGATGGTTGGTAGGATGGCTGCAACAACTAACTGGTTGACGGGTAGGTTCCTGTCTTCTATGGGTCATGGCCGGCATGGGGGGCGGGCAGGGCGACGGGGGAAAAAGAACCTATCCTTTGCTAGCAGGGATACCAGAGGGGGACACATAAATTATTATAATGGAGCCCATGAATATGATGATAATTATGGATATGAAGAAGACTACCATAACAGGTGGGGACCACAAAGCTTTGAAAGACAACCATTTAACTATGACCCAACTGATCCCTATGAAGAGCAATTATACTATGATGATGATGAGTGGGAGGATGAGTATGGTTATTATGATGATGAGGGCAACTTTTATTATGATGATGAGCTTTATTATGATGATGATGTAGATAACTTTGGTTACCCATATGGTTATTATGATGATGAATATGAAGACTACAATGGCCATGATGGGGCAGAGTATTACTATGGAGAAGATGGATTTCTGTACTCTGTAGAGCCAGACCCATATAGTTATTATGATGATACCATGTATGGGTTTCATGACTCCTTTTACCCTGAACAATATGTGGATTACTTTGACCACAACATGGCTTCTAACTATGGTATACCAAACGCATATGGGATAATGAGCGGCACCTATGATACAGTCCCAGGAATATATAATGACCCAATGCTTGCATATGCGCAAAGTGCTCAAATGTACAACCCTTATCAGCAACAGGTCACTATGAATCCTGGACTGAATCTGGCTGAGACCGGACAGCTATTTGGACAGGAACAGTTTTCCTCCCCTGTACCTGAAGCATTTCCATCTGAACAGTTCAGAGTCCCTAGGCCCCAAGTTATGTTGTTTGGAAAAGAGAGACTAGAGGTTGAAACTTTGCCACCACCTTCTCTTCATACTCAACTCTCTCCCCAAATGTTTCCTTCTACCAATCCATCCTTGGTTCTCAATAATCAGGAAATTCTGTCAGATGCACAATTTGAACAACCCATCCCAGCATACCTTTCTGCACAGTCTTCTTTGCCCATTGATATCAATCAACAACTTCCCGCCATTCCTCTTGGAGATCCTATCTTTTCAACATCTGTGATCAATAATCAAGAGTACCTTCCTTCTCCTCAGCTACCTACTGTCCCTTTTACTGTTCCTCCTAACTACGGTTCCCCGTCTCCCTTACCCCCTCAATTTTCTTCCCAGGTTTATCAAGCACCTCTACCACAGGACTCACAAATGTTTCAGTTGGGGCAAATTTCACCAGGAGCCCTGCAAATGCAGCAACCAGTGTATTCACCACTTCATTCACCAATGGCCTCCCCGGTGCCAGTCCGAAAAATGAGTCCCCTTCTCTCTCCACAGATGTCATTAAGACCGGGATCACAAAGGGTACAAGGGCCTCCTTCACCTCACTTCTCACCACATCCAATGGACTTCAAATCAGGCTTTCAGTTGGACCCTTACATTTCTCCTCACTTCTCACCACATCCAATGGACTTCAAATCAGGCTTTCAGTCAGACCCTTACATTTCTCCTCACTTCTCACCACATCCAATGGAGTTCAAATCAGGCTTTCAGTCAGACCCTTACATTTCCCCGGGCGTACATAGACACACTCACCGGGCCTCAATGGTAAGTCAACGGCCCACAACCCCAGTTGAATGGCAGAGAACATCAAGCCCCCCTTCTTCTCCACCGTACTATAGGAGAGGGATGTCAGTAAGAGCTCAACCATCCTTGAAACAAGGAAGAAGGGGAATTGGTTTACGCAGGGGTCCCTCCACTGTCAGACCCCATTCCCCACTTTCTAGTCCTCTGGCTTCACCACGAGCATCACTAAGAAAAAGACGAAGTCCACCTTCTTCCCCAAGATTGTCTTTCAGGCAGCAACCTCCTCCAGATGCAGTTCATCTGCCCCCTGTGAGACCACATTTGTTTCAAGAAAGAAAACAAACATCTTTGATGAGGGGTTCTCCTTCTCCACCTCTTCCTTCTCCACAAAGGCAGAGCCCAATTCAGCCTGTGTCCCGTTCTCCACCAAAGTCTTTCCGGCCCGCTTCTCCCCATCATGCCCCCTCCCCTTCACCTTCACGGGTCTCTTCTCGACCCCTTCCAACTCGCTCCTCTACCCGCAGGCTGAGAGGAGGTCCTAGAGTGAGAAGCCATGTCCCTATGGGAGCTGTGAAACCCTCACCAGCTAATCCCTATTTACAAAGACGCAGTAGACCTGGACCCCCAGTAACTCAGCAAGTAGCCCCTTTTAGGTCATCTATACATAGAGGCCCTGCCTCTCCTTCAGGAGAAATGGGTTCTGGAACAACCATGCTAGCTAGATCAAACTCTCGGCCTGTAGGTTTAAGGGAAACCAAACGAACTAGTAGTGTCCAAGGAGCCTTCCACAGACCTGTTGGTCGTGGACAGCCTTTAGTACGAATGCCCAGAAACCAACCATCTCTTCAATCAAGACAGTCAATCAGCTCTTCTCCAGCAGTGCGCCCATTATCTCCCCAGCCATCTTTAAAACAAAGTGGTCCTGTTTCTCCACAGCCATCGATCCGAAGGCTCCAGAGTAGACCCCAATCTCCACAGCCCCTGCCACATAGATCTCCTCTGCCCTCCCGTGCTGCTTCTCCCATGTATCATATGTCTCACCCAGCTTCTCCCTTACCTCATCGATTAGTAAGACCCCACAGCCTGGGGCCAGCTTCCTTTCAACCTCTTGTGCCTCAGTCTAATTTTACTCATGGTGTCCACCTACCATCTCAGGGGATTACTCAGCATAACTACACACTAATGGACCCAGGTCCATCTCCCATGCTTACCAACGCCTTACCAAGTTCTCAGGTTCTCCCTCAACAACTACCACCATCCCCTCATTTGGGGCGCACACTCCATAATCCTTATTTGCAAAATGCTGGCATTACAACACCTTTGCAAAGGATCCCTTCTCCCATACCAGGAATGCAGGGGGATGAATCAATCATTGCACAAGAGTCCCAGATGGTCAACCCATATGGGCCTCAGGGTTTATCCACTGCTTTGATGCAGAATTCCCGTTTACGCACCGCCTCATTTTCATCCCCTCTACAGCACAGTGCCAATCTCCATACAACTGTCCTGCCTCCCTCACATCCCCCTCAAACAGCAGCATCTTCCCCTCTTACCTCTCCACACTTGTCCTCCGCTATGCTTACCTCTCAGCTACGTAATGCTTCCTTTGCATCTCCTTTTCAGCAACATCTATCTCCAGCTTCAGCCTCACCAGCTCCAGCTTCCATCACACCTCCACAAGGAAGTGTTAGAGGTAGCTCCCCACTTTTCTCTGGAGGACTGCGAACTTCCCAGATTCAAGGATCAATGTTCAAGCTTCCAAGTGGTACTTTGGCAATGTCTAAGGGTCCTGTGGAAGTCACAGGTACAAATGTCCCTGGAGTTGGTGCTAATAATGGAAGGCTTTCCCCCTCAGTGCTCTCCAATGCTCTTCAGAACCCACATCTACGTCAAGCCACATATAGACTACCTGATGGCTCATTGGTTACCAGAAATGAACCTGTTGAACTTGCTCCAGATCCTTCCCCTATGTCTTCCTCTATGTTGTCCTCTGCCCTGTTAAACTCTAATGTGCGTAAAGCTACATATAGGTTACCAGATGGAACTTTGGTCACTAGAAATGAGCCAGCCCCTGTGTCTTCCTCCCCCATGCTCTCCTCAGCCATTCTTAATTCAAATGTCCGAAAGGCCTCTTATCGACTACCAGATGGATCATTTCTTACACGTCCAGGAGAGAATGTGGAGACTGCTGAGAATGCATCCTCTTCACTAGGGCTGTCCAGTGCTCTGATGAACACAAACCTCCGCAAGGCAAAGTTTCAACTACCAGAAGGATCGTCTCTGTTTCCAAAAAATCAACCTCAAAGTCCTTCAAGCCCTCTCCTTTCTGGTGCTTTGCTAAATAGCAACATCCGTGGTGCTTCATACAATCTCCCAGACACATCATTATTGAGGCAACGTGGTGCTGCTAATACTCCTGAGCAACGTTCACTTGATCTCTCTAATGCTCTCCGCAACCAGAACCTCCGATCTTCTTCCTACCGCCTGCCAGATGGAACACTCATGACACGCTCCCAGGCTTCTTCTTCACCTCAATCGCTTGACCTGTCAAAGGCATTATCAAAGAACCCAAACCTTCGTGGAGCAAATTACCGTCTCCCTGAAGGTAATATCATGACACGGCTTGGGGCCCCCAGCGCTCCACAACCTCTTAACCTTTCTGGTGCTTTACGGAAATCTCACCTACAGGGGGCTTCTTTTCGCCTTCCTTCATATGCTGTAGTATCACCACATGTCCAAGGAGCTGGACCTGAACAGCACTGGGCACAAGGTTCAGGAGCGGACGTCATGCAAGAAGATCTAGATGTTTGGGGGGCAGAGAGGGTTCTCCCTCATGGGACAGTGGAGAACCTCAACAAGTGGTCAATGTACGGAGATGGAGAATTTCCTGAACACACCCAGAGTCTAATGAGACAAAGACCTGAAGGGGAGGGACCAGGGCAGTGGAATCTGAACAGAGAGGGGGAACCTCAGGGGCAATGGTATGACAAGGTAATGATCTAGAATGATTTAACAAATGCTGCCATGCTATAATTACATTAAACAACAATTATTTTCTGCATGATATCAATGAAGCTGAAAGACAAGCATTGGTTGTAGGGTTTGTTGAGGATAATAAAACATAAGGAAGCATTTGCAAACAAGGTTGCAAATAAGTCTAACATTACTGATGGATGGTAAACCACAAGTCAGAAGAAAAAAGTTAATTAAAATTTTTCTCTAAAGCATCTGTCCAAGTTTGTCAAATTCAGGCCTGTGTTTTCACTTGATGTTCTGATTTCTGTCTGTATACACTTGAATTATAGATGTACTCAATCAGAAGCATGCCCACAATCACTCACCGGGACTTCAGGGAGGAAGACGGTGTGGAAGACATGACGCAGTTAGAGTAAGTTTTCACTCAAATGGCAAAAATGTACAAACCTTCCTCTCTGATATTAAGCAGGGTCAAACAACAAATACTGAGGAAACCTAAAAGACAAACCTGCTTTGTGTTTTTTTAGTGAGATGCATGAGGGAGCTGTTTTGCTGAATTTAAGGACAAGGTTTGACAGACAGCTTATTTACGTAAGTACTGACTGAAAGGTCCTATAAGAAATTATTTGACTCCATAAAGATTTTTAAAAAATTTACGTGGTATTGCATTTTATTTTTCTAGGCCTGTCACAATAATCAATAAGTCAATTAATCACATAATGAAATAAAACAAATTCAATAATTTCTAAAAATAAATCTTAAGTTTGGCCCTAGGATTAGTGTAGGATTTTGGTGGTTGGGAGTTTAATGTGATTTGTACCAAAAACTGGATGATAAAAGTTTTCAGTCTGGAGTTTTGGTCTCAACTAAACCGCTTTTTTTTTTTTTTTGAAGGCTTCATAATTAATTTTATTTGTTGTTTTGTTGATTTATTTTGGATATTTAAAATGTCTTCATTTCCTGTGTTACATGCTCATTAGAATTGAAACTTTATTGATCTTTGAGAATGTTTTCTTGCGTTATTATTCGATTATTGTCATGATATTACTGGCAAATTGTCTCAAAACAATAATGGTATTGCTTATCGCAATAACTTCTGGGACTATTAGTTGTCAAGAAACAGTTATTGTGACAGGCCTACATTTTCAGTTATTAATAACCAGTAATGATCAGTACGCCCTCTGATTGAAAAAAACAACAACATGCGTACCTGGTTATATTGGAAAATATAATTAACATAATAAATGGATGGAGAAAACAGCTTTCATGCAGAATTTGAAAGAACTGGTAATGAGCCTATGCAATTATTGCAATTAGGCCCAGTTAGGTTTGAATAATCTTATTTACATCATTTCAAAACCACATTTTGTTTTTTTATTAAATTTTCTTTATCGAATGATGTGACAAGAAAAAAAAAAGGAAATCTGTAAAGGGTCATATCCATTCTTTTATTCACAGGACTATTTAAATATTTGTATTCAGTTGTCTGCTTCACTTATGTCACTCTTTACTCATCTCATCCAGACATACATAGGCAGCATACTGGTGTCTGTGAATCCCTACAAGATGTACAACATTTATGGAACTGACGTTGTGCTGCTGTACAAGGGTCATGCTCTGGGAGAACACCCTCCGTAAGTAAAGTTTAGGGTCATAGCAAGTATGCAAAACAAAAAAAGAGGCCAGGATTTTCCAGTATGCTTACAGTACTGATTAAGATTGTTACAAGTGCAAACTATTTCTTTAAAATGTACTACAAAAACATATTGGAACATAATGGGAATCTGATATCTGCATATATCAGATAAAAGTGTGGATAGGAGTCATCTTCCATGTTCCTCCTTAATGCAGTTGAGTTGAAGCTTCTGGCTGAAAACATTTAAAGAAAAAAATAATCAGGTGCTTTTTGTGTTCTTCTGATTTCAAATGTTCTCAGTTAGTTGACGTTTTTACCTCTGCCTTTTGTCTCGCAGGCATTTGTTTGCCATAGCAAATGCTGCTTACTCCAAAATGATGGATGCCAAAGAAAACCAGGTCATAATAATCAGGTAGGAAATGTGTTCACTTTAAATCGTTTAAAGTTAAACGAATTAATGGCATAGGTATTTTGTGTAGTAGAATGACCTAAATCTAATTAAGAGTCTGTGACAAAGCTTGAAAATCGTTCTGTACACAAGCTTTCTATTGGGCTATGCTTTTCGGATTTTTTTATGTAAAAAAAAATAAGTTAACAAGTATGAAACCTTTTGATTCCACTTCACAATTATACAGCTATTTGTGCTGATAAAAAAAAAAAAACAATAAAATGCATTCATTATGTGGCACAATATAAGAAAAGTTTGACATTTTCCAAGCCAAATTCCTTTTAGAAACATTGGGAATGCTTGGATATGAAGGGTTTGTGTAGAAATGAGCAGAAATTGGCACCTGACACAAAAAGACCTCTCACACGACTCGAACACTTTAGCCATATTTGGAAGGAGACACCTGTAAGGGAAGCCCAACAAGGTCTGGGCCAGGAGCAGATCGTCTTTCAGAGGTTTGAATCTTCGTGTGTGGACCATCGGTTTGTGGGTGTGTGTGTGTGTGTGTCAGCGAGTGCGTGTCAAGGGCTAACTGAGGTCGAGTGTTCAGTGACCATTAATGGCCTGATTCTTACCCAAGCAGGCTGCGAGCTGAAACCTTATGCTGGAAAGTTGTGAAGGTGCCATAGTCCCTTAAACACACAAAACACACAATGATGGTACTTAGTGCTAATCCCTTGGCAGTGGCACAGCACTGGCTGGTTGTGTGTTGGCCGAGCTGCATGTGAGAGACTGTTTCGGATACTTTAATTTAACAGTGGAATTGAGTCTTTGCCTAATGTGAGCTGAAGGGAAGTGTTCATGTAACTTAGTCGATTAAGTCAAACACTTAATGAGCACCAACAGGGCGATAATGAGAATCAAATAATTGAAGTCTTTAAGTAAAGAAAAAGCTCTTTGTGTTTTTGGGAGATTTGTGTTTTTTACCGCCAGGATAGCAGGATTATTATCGGGGGTCTCAGTTTGATGACCACTAATTAGTTACCTTGCTAACTAAATATTTAGTGTTAAGTTTTGTATATGTTATACACCTATTAAAGAGTCTTTAAAAAGTTAATGGGTGGTGGATTGTGAGTAACAGAGTTTTAATGTGTTTTAGTGGGGAGAGCGGGTCTGGAAAAACGGAGGCCACCAAACTCGTGCTTCGCTACCTGGCGGCAATAGATCACAATTCAAATCCTATGCAACAGGTATGAACACACATCCTGACTTATACAAAGTGATGCTGATATACTTTGATGGACCAAATTATGTGGATTTGTAATCCCTCTCTCCGTGTGTTTGTCTCATCTTTTTTTAAATCTATGATGGCTTTTCATGAGGAAAGATTGAGGTAGTCGTCCTTTCTGCATGTCCTTTTACCACTCGTCTTACCTTCTGTTACTTAGCATTTAAATATGTGATGTGTTAGTGTCCTTGTTTTAGTATCTCCACTTCAACACTAACAATGTTTTGAGTGATTGTTACTGTGGCTTGTGTTTTGTTATTTTTTTGCACAAAAGGTCTTGATGCACATCTTGTTGAGATTTTTTCTTTCCCTTTGCTTTGTTTAAGACTAAGTCGTCTTCCTGATTTCTGGGTAGTGTGTGTAAAAATGTTAGTTGACAGAGTTTCAGTGTCCGTGTGTGTGTGTGTGTTTCTGTGATCAAAGTGTGTGACTTGCTTTGTGTTTGAATACGTTGTAGATCCTGGAGGCGGCGCCTCTGCTGGAATCCTTTGGAAATGCCAAAACTGTGCGAAACAATAATTCTAGCCGCTTTGGGAAATACATAGAGGTCTACCTGGAGGAGTGAGTACGGAAGACAAATTTTGATTCTTCAACTCCTTTGTAATCCTACTTATGTGTCATCTTTTTTACCCCCTTGTATTTGTTTGTCTAGTGGTATAATCAGTGGTGCCATAACCTCTCAGTATCTGCTGGAAAAATCCCGCATTGTCTTCCAGGTAACTTCTGATACAGCATGATGGTTTTACGTAGTTGGCTGTCTGTGGAATGATCTGTTGATGTCTGCTTCAGGCCAAAGATGAGAGGAACTATCACATCTTCTACGAGATGCTGGCAGGTCTTCCTTCTCAGCAGAAACAGGCTTTCTACCTGCAAGATGCTGAAACCTACTTTTACCTCAACCAGGTATAACACAGCGAGCAACACAGTGTCTTCCTCACAGATCATTTCCTCCAGCTCGCGCTTATGTTTAAACTCTGCCTCTGAATAAAGGGAGGGGACTATCTGATACGAGGAAAGAGCGACGCAGATGATTTCCGACGTCTGCTCTCTGCCATGGAAATCCTTCACTTCACCCCTGAGGACCAGTCAGCCATCTTTAGAGTCCTCGCGTCTGTACTGCACCTGGGCAATGTTTACTTTCAGAAACATGAGGTAATATTCTAGGTTGATTTAGGTTATCACCCTCTCTGCATTTTGTACTTACTTTTGAAATTACTCTTGAGTTAAAACCAAATATTACACTATCCAAATGAGTCTATTAGAAGTAATTGCTTTTCAGCTTTGTTTCTATGAATGGTAGGTACATGGGTTTAACTCTTGCTATTGTGATCAATAGAACATTGATTGGAAAGATGTTGAGCTGACATTAAGCTGCGAGTTGAAGAGCCAGTCCGATATTGAATTTTTTTATCAAACACTTTGACAATGCTGCATTCAATTTGTCTCTAGTCGAAACTGGTAATGAAGTCACACCTGAGTTGAGTGTTTTCTACATGAATGGCAGAAAACCAAAGGGACTTGCTAACTGATGTGACGCTAACTACTGTCAGTAATTGGTATCTGTCACAAAAAGTACCATCCCGTTATACAATAAGTGTAACTATGTGACAAATGGAGGAATATCAGTAACAGTAAGTATTAAACACGATTATTAAGAAATGACTGAGGGATTTTCAAAGATTACTCGAAATTATTTAATGATCTTCATAATAAATCAATTTCCATCAACTATGAAATGATGTTGACATGTCATTTAAATCCTACTCTGCTTTTAAATGACAATCGGGCTTCGTGTTGCGTTCACGGTCCCATTCTTGTTCTCAGACTTGAAAAGTTCCGAGCTTTCCAGTTCGTCTTCTTGTGATTCAAAGCAGATTTAGGGATTAATAACAACCCGGAGTCTCAACACAGGCAATAACTGGTGTTTATTTAAGTCTAACCGTTGGAATGACTTGCAGAAATAAATTATGAAATTTTATTTGCTGAGGTGCACTTCCAAACTCATCTTCAACTCAGCTCCTTCCTCATTTAAGGTTGATTCCCCTGCAGTGATTTCTCAACAGATTGAACACATTTTCCCTTTTCCTTGCTGCACTGGAGGCTGATGGCCAGGAGGTGGCGTCAGTGGTGAGCGCGCAGGAGATCAGGGTGGTGGCAGAACTGCTGCAGATCTCACCAGAAGGACTACAGAAAGCCATTACGTACAAAGTCACGGTCAGTGTCAAACAGGTTGAGTTTTCCGTTTAAGACGTCTATATTTTATTGCAGGATGTGTCGGGGATGACATGTTCTCCTCCTTGTAGTTTTGCTATCACTGCTTAACGTTTGACATCTCCAGTGAAGTAGACTGACTGGTTCATGTGGCAGCCTTGTTGTCTTGCTTACACAGGTGTGGTGACAATGAAAGCATTGTATTGGCCCCAGTGTCCTTTACACAGACACAATTAGATGCTTGTGTGTCAACACACACACACACACACACACACACGGAAAATAGACAACAGAAACTAAGTGCTGTCAGTGATCCTCTTCCATTGTTGTCTACCTGGTTTCCTTTGTTCTATTTCTTTCAGCATTTTCACAATTAACTTTATTTAGAAATTTATTTAGTAAGTTTTTTTTTATGTCTGAAAAGATTGTGTTTTATTTATCCTCTGTATTCCCTGGACAAGATTTTATTTGGTATGCCTCGACCAGTTTAGAGGCTTTTTTCTTTCTTTTTTCTTGCAGTTCTTTTCTGCAAAGCAGCTCAAGCAAAGTCAGATTACATGTGAACGTCAACTATTAAGTTTTGCTCCAGATCCACAGCTTGATCATATCTGGACTTTGACTGGGCCATTTTATCACATCGCATTACTTTGATCTAAACAGTGCCGCTGTAGCTGAAACGTTTTACTTTTCATTGATGCGCCTCACCATTCTGAATCAAAACAGATACCAAGCGACCAATCACCCCTCCTCCGCCTCCTGAAACACAAACAGCAACAAGATGCAAATAAATAGATTTATAAACAGACACTTAAACCTTCTAATGAGATTTTGTCCAAACGTTTTTTTATGTCTTATTTTATGTCATAACCACGAGCGAAACATGGAAGAAAAGTTGCCTTTTGTCTTTCACTCAAGTCTTTCTAAGTGCTTCTCTGAGAAATTTGAAGTCCACTCAAATTTGAATTTCCACAAATAGTTTCAGATAATAGAAAGAAGTCTGATTTTGTCTCCTTTGCAGTAAAGTACAAGTTAAAACATTTTTCTTCTTTGCTCGACATAGATCCTCAGGTAGAAGATTGATTCTTCTTCATATCTTCATCACTGTGGAGCCAAACAAAAGTTAGAGATATGAGGAAAACTCTCTCATCCCTTCATGCTTATAAAACAGGTGCCACAGGGGGAAATCCATGCTTTATCTTTTGTTTTTCACTTGCACATTGGATCCGTGAGTCCAATAATGTTGAAAAAATAGAATAAAAAAATAAATAGTCAAAAATAAAGGCTTTCCCACAAGCCAGCCTAGTTTATCCAATCCGATCAACTTGTAATCCTCCAAGAAGGAAGTGATGGTGGTGAGAGAGAAATCTTATGTCTGCCACCTGCTTATATACACAACACAAGAGCCTTTTGCATTATTCAAACTCTGATTACAAAGGTGCGCATGTAACAGGAGAGGAGTCAGCGCTACCGACTCTTTCCTCTGGCTGGGTTTGTGCGCGCAGGGTGTGTGTGCTGGTCAAGTGGATTTTGGCAAAGGAAGCTCGCGAATCTCAAAGCGCTCTTTATCTGCTGAGTCGATGAGGTGGCGAATAGAAGTGAGACGGAAGAGCTAACAGGAAGCAAAGCATGTGATGGAGACGAGGAGGAGGGAATGCTAAAAAAAAAAAGTGGGAGAATAAATGCAGTGAAATAGCTTCCCCAAAATCTTTTAAGTTGACTGAAATGCATTAACCTGATCCATAAATGGGTATTTTTGCTCCGTTTTCTTCCACAGGAGACAATGAGGGACAAAATCTACAGCCCTTTGAGTGTGGAAAATGCTGTTGATGCCAGGTGAGAGAAAATAGGTGACAAGATCCAACCCTGGTAGTTCACACATAAGACCCTCCTGACTGTAGAAATTCATTTTGACCTTTTAGAGATGCTGTTGCCAAGATTCTGTACTCGCTTATCTTCCATTGGTTAACCGAGAGGATCAACGCTCAAGTGTACCCTCGCCAACACAGCCTCTCCATCTCTATTCTGGACATTTATGGGTTTGAGGTAGGCGAGTGTTGCAGATTTTGTATTCTGTTGGGGAGAGTTAAATAAAAACTGTCAGGAGTTTTGCCTAATTTTCCTTTGCCGAGAGCTGCTACACAGATGTCATGGGAAAAACCCCCAACGTGATGACTCTGATTACAGGAAGTCGCAGCCTGAATTTAGCACAATAGGTTGCTTGTTTTGAATCCCGTTATCACACCAGGCAGACAGTTTCCAGAAGCCATCAATTCAGAGCAGGCTGTGTATAACTCCCAGGTCTGAATGACCTGGGAATATTATGTCCCATCAAACACACTATCATTAAAAATACTAAACTAAAGAATTACTACATAGATCTTTGACTTAGGTATTTATTCTCTCCTCATAGCTCACTGATGTATATTAAAAATAGCCAAACGGGTTAAGAAATCAAGGCTTTGCTAACAATAAGGATTTTTTAAATCTGTACAGTGTGGTTTATATTACTTGACTAACTTTGGTTATTCTAAAGTGATCTCAATGTAAAAACAATATAACGGTTTAAGGGTTTGTTCAAGTTTTGCGAAACCTGCAGCTCATTCAGCACACCGGTCTGCAGAACCACGAACCGCTCTCTAATGTTCCTGTGCTCAACTTTAGAGATCAGATCCTGAATAATCATCCGATCGGAAGATCACACGTGAAGAATCACCTGCTGTGTGTGTTTGTGGCGACAGGATCTGGCCTTCAACAGCTTCGAGCAGCTCTGCATCAATTATGCAAACGAATACCTGCAGTTCTTCTTCAACAGGATCGTATTCAGGGAGGAACTGGTGAGTCGGCGTCACGCCTGCAGAGTGGCTCGATTTCACACACAGACTTCCTGAGAAACTCGGATCGCGCAGAAAGCAGCGACTGCATGCGCAGAGATGTAAAACGGATCCCGTCTGAAACATGTGATCCCGCTGCAGGAGGAGTACAGCAGAGAGCAGATCCCGTGGCAGGACATCACATTTAGCGACAACCAGCCCTGCATCGACATCATCGCCGCTAAGCCTCATGGGATACTGAGGATTCTGGACGACCAGAGCTGTTTCCCTCAGGTGAGGATTGTTGCACCGTGTGCAGCATGTGCAAAATACACAAATGATCAAAGTGTGAGTCGTGCTAATTTGTTGCCAGGCAACAGACCACACTTTTCTGCAAAAGTGTCACTATCACCATGGCCACAATCCGCTGTATGTGAAGCCAAAGATGCCGCTCCCAGAGTTCACCATCAAGCACTTTGCTGGTCGGGTCACCTACCAGGTACTCAGCTGCTCCTAGCTCATCATTTAGATATTTCAAACCATCCATCCATCCTCTAACACCCTTGTACTTAGTGGGGTTGGGAGAAGTGCTGATGCTCATCTCCAGCTAACTATTTCAGACCAAAATTATGAATTTCAAAAAACCTCCAGCAATCGAACCGCTGGAGTTTTTTTAGTCAACTCCAGGTTTCTTATAACACAAAATAAGTCATTTATAAAAGTTACATTATCAAGAAATGTTCACTGTTTCCTAAAGTTATACCCCGACCTGAACTGTGTTTGAGTGCATTTGTTTACAGATCTTAGGGTCAATGCTTTAAAAGTACCTTTTATTGCATTTACAGCTAAAAATCTTGCATGAAGGCCAAAAAGCTTTCTTTTTCTGAACTGGGCAAAGCTCTACTTACCAGCTGGAGGAGTTATTAAGACATTTGGTTGCACTAGATTGTATTTGGGTGTATTTGATTAAGAGGGCTCAATATAAATACAAATTCCACCTTTTAGATTCAAGCTATTTTGCAAAAACACCTTTTTTTTAATGAAATAACTGCATTAATGCCCTACTTTGTGTTGGTTTATCTCTTTTTAAAAAAAAAAACATTAAAGTTTGAGGTTGTAACATGAAAAACACTGGAAATGTGCAGGGGCCGTGAAAACTTTTCCAAGTCACAAAATGTGGGTCTGTTTATATTTTATCATGTGATAATGCCAGCTGTCTGATCCAGGTTTATAAGTTCCTCGATAAGAACTACGATCAGGTTCGGCAGGAAGTGTTGGACCTGTTCATTCAGAGCAGAAACAAGGCAAGTCCAAAACTGACGTCTAATAAAATGTACACTCAAACTGATAAGTTGAATAAAAGCCGTGTGTGTGTGCATGTGTCTGTAGATGGTGTCGAACCTGTTCCTGGCTCACGCAGACGCAATAGCTCAGCAGAGAGGAGGAGGCCACATGAGGAAGAGCAGCTCAGTCACCAGAAAGTACCAGCCGCCCACCGTCAGCAGCAAGTTCCAGCAGTCGCTGCTGGAGCTCGTGGAAAAGATGGAGAGGTGAAGCCCACCTGCTATTAGTTTTAGGTTAAAAAGAAAACAAGCTCTGTGTGTGTTATCTTTATAATCTATTCATTCTTTCATTTCAGGTGCAACCCTTTTTTTGTTCGCTGCATTAAGCCAAATAATATGAAGGTAAACCATCTACGTTCTGTATGTTTGAGCTCTTGGCGGATTTGCTTATGAATCAGTGCATTTGTCCAACTGTGAACAGCGGCCAGCCGTGTTTGAGGACGAGCTGGTCAGCAGCCAGCTGCGACACTCCGGGGTCCTGGAGACCATCAGGATCCGCAGAGAGGGCTACCCGGTCAGAATGCCATTCTACGTCTTTCTCTTCAGGTACTGAGGCCTGAGAACCACCGAGATCTGCCTTTAGCGGCACCCAGGAGGCATTTTAGCTAAATTATTTGCAAAATGTAAATGTAAGAACTAACTGACGACTTGTTCAAAGACGTTAGACTTTTATGACGTCAGAAACATCTCATGGAAGATGTGCAGTAGGAAAAGTTTTAATCACTCCTGGTTCAAAGAGTAGTGGACGACACAAAATTAGTAAAAAAAAAAAAAAAAAAAAACTGACGTGACTTCTGCTGTGTTTCATTCCCCGACAAAAACAGATGTTACTATAAACTGAAAAAAAATTTTAAAAACCATGTCTTTTTCATTCTTACTGTCTAAATCGAATCAGAATAAATATCCTGGTAGGTTACAGGGTAAAAAAAAAAATAGGGTAGGCAAGAATAAGCTTTGCTTCAGCCTATTCCTTTTTTGGTAAATTGTGGGTTACTTATTGTTTATTGTTATTTCTTTGTTGTTTCTGGTGATGTGGACAGTTTACCAAAATAAAATGAATGAATGAATGAATGAAATGAAATGAATGAATATGTGAAGTTGGCTTTTGGTAGCTTCTAATTAATTCATTTGAGTGGATTTGTATTAAGGCAGCTCCTCACATGCCACTTCTTTCTGTGGCGTAGTGATAAAAATAAATTAGCCAAGATATCTTGAAGGTATTTGCAGTTCTCCATAGGGATTTTGTTTATTCTTGGGAATAATTTCCAGATGCCAGATAATTCCACATTTATCAGATCAAGCAATTATATGCATATAGAGCTCTGGAAATAAAACTAAGAGACCACTTACAATGATCACTTTCTCTGATTTCACTTTCTATCTGTATATGTTTGAGTAGAATAAACATTGTTCTGTTATTCTGTGAACTACTGACAACATGTCTCAAAAATTCCAAGCAAAGATTTATTAGCAGAAAATGGGAAATGGTCAAAATTGCAAAAAAGATGCAATGCTTTCAGACCTCAAATAATGCAAAGAAAACAAGTTCATACTCATTTAGAAACAACAATACTAATGTTTTAACTCTGGAAGAGTTCAGAAATCAATATTCGGTTGAATAACCAGGAGGTTTTCAGTGGGGTTCATTAGCTGTGGGCTTTTTATTTTGAGTTGTATGATCAGCATGAATGAGAAGGTCCAATAATCATACCGGTCGATATTAAAACCCCTCACCAGAGGTTCTACATTAAATTAAGTCGTGTGGTGTAGCTTTTTTTCTCAGACTGGTGAATTTTGTCTCTCAGGTATAAGTCTCTGGTTGGACTTAAACAGCCGCCGCCAGCAAACGGAGAAAACTGTGTGATTATGCTGAGCAAGCTGTGTCCCCTCCGACCTGGGGCCTTCCACATTGGGGTCACAAAGGTGAGAGACGTCACCTCGACAGAGACAACACCTGGTGCAACCAGGTTCTTCTACTGCACATAATGTTTTCATTGTGTCCATCCTTTTTGTAAGTTTACGCATTGCATTTGAAGGTGGCCTTTTTTGTGTGTGTAAATGGCAGCTGTTTCTGAAGGAGGACGTCTACCAGCTGTTGGAGTGCAAACGAGAGCGATGCCGAGAGCTCGCTGCGCTCACTCTGCAGCGCTACGCCCGCATGTTCTTCGTCAGGAAGCGATTTGTCGAATTTCGCAACAAGATAATCGGGTTTCAGGCGCACAGCCGGGGCTTCCTTCTCAGGTGAGATGTGACTTAAACATGGCAGCAGCTCCAGACGAGTTTAGCAGGACAGAGAGAGAAAATAAAAACAGAAATTTTAATATTACTCAAGTAAAAGAAAATGCCCCCCAATGCCCGCCCATGCCGCAAGGCCTGCATGCCAGAATACAAGACTTTGTGTATCTTGGAAAACTCATAGTAACTACATTTACTGTACGAAAATGTGGAAAGGTTTGTTCATTTTTATTCATTAGATCAGTTAAAGTATGACTTAAATTGTCATTCTCCTCTGTAGGAAGCGCTACGTGAAAATGAGGGAGAGTCTGGTCCGGTTCCGCTCTTATGTGCGAATGTATGTCAACCGCAAACAATACATAAAGGTGCCTCCACTCTCTTTTCGCATGCCTTGTCATTTGCTTTTTATGAGATCGGTAAAAAAAAAACAGAAAGCATTTTCTTTCTTTTTTTTTTGAAAACAAATGCAAAAGATTTGTTTTAATTTTTTGTTTGTTTGTTTTACATCTGATAGTCATAAATGGAAATAAAAAAGTGTGATTTTTGCAACCTGTTTCCAGATGAAGTTTGAAGCCAAGAGGAAAGCTGAAGAAGAGAGGAGGAAGAGAGAGATGGTAAGATGAATGCTCCCCTAGAACGTACATTACATTTAAATGATATACTGTAAATATTAATGCATATGTTTTTCCAAAATAAGTTTTGTAATATGCAGGGTAAATCAGTTCTATTCACTTTAATTTTTGCACAAAAAACACCCTGCACCACTCTTTTAGGAGCTGACGAAGCGCGAAGTGGTGAATGTAACCCATCTTGTGATTCCTGCAGAACTTGGCGCTCTCCTGCAGACGGCAGCAGGTGGGTAGATGTTCATCCTTCACATTAAGTGTTCATCACATGATGAACCTACTCATAATTTATGCTCTGAGACTCTGACAGCTCGTTAAAGGTGCGTGATCAAGCTGGATAGGGACGTCAGTAGTTACTAAATAAAACAAAAAGTTGAAAAATACGAACTTTAATGGCGTCTTCCAAGAAGCTCAAAATAACCTGTCTGGTCAGCATCCTGATGGTGCACAGAGTGTGAACTAATCTTTTTGGCTCACTGCATCGCCTCAGTCAGGAGGGAGCTGCACGCAGACTGCTTGGCCTTGCTGCAGGCGCCTCACATCCTGGAAGAAGCTCAGCTCACTTTGCCCCTGGACATCAACAACCACCCTTTTTACCGTTACGTACAGGTCCACTTCAGGGTAAGATGTTTGTAAACCTTCTCACAAAATGACTATTAACCCCGGACTGCAGTCCTGTGCTACTCAACGTCTGTCATGTTCCAGCCACAAACATCAGTGCGTTTCAGAATACGGGAAATTTAAATGAACAGACACAAAGTCGTGCATAACTCGGCCATAGAAGCCTCAGTATGTTCATTGGTTTGTTCATTAGTGTTTTTCAACAAATGTCTGCAGTCAGAAACAGAACAGTTTCAAAATAGTAAGATTAAATGTAACTCAGTCAGACTTTATTTTTCAAATTTGTGACTGTGGCAATTTTTTTCATTTAGAGATATAAGATTAAAATGGGCTAAACATAATTGTATTTTAATTTGTACAGAATGCTGATAAAACACATTTTTGTAACTGTAAACAGAAATAGGCAAAAGTGTGAGGGTTATGAATATTCCTAAAGTTGGGTCTGGTATCAAGACAATACTGGTGGAAAATCTCTCCTTTTAAGAATAAAATCTCTTTTGGATTAGTCAGATTGTGTTCAGTTCAGAGTTATAAAACTTTAACGATTTGTTGTTGCAGGAGCCAAAATTTGGGATGCTAATGGTTCCTCTGGAGTTACCTCTAACCAAAGTGGAGGACGACCTCAAGAGAGAGGCTCTGGAGCTTTTCAACATGGTATTCTGACCAAAAAGAAAAATGCTTTACTATCAGAAATCCACCTGTTCATCATTTTTACTTTGTCCTGGCTTCTTGAGGTTTTGCGGTTTATGGGGGACCCTCACCTGAACGGGGCTCAGGAAAACCTGTTTGGGAATTACGTCATCCAAAGAGGGCTGATGTCTCCGGGTTTACGAGACGAGATCCTGGCTCAGGTCGTTAATCAGGTGTGGAGAAACACGAACCTTGAAAACGCCGAGAGGGGCTGGCTGCTGCTGCTGGCGTGTGTTTCCAGCTTCGCCCCTTCGCCCAGGATGGAGAAACATCTGCTGAAGTGAGAAACCAAACCCAATAAAGTTTTATTTTCAAATAAAATGTTTAAAAAATTACATTAAATTTAATGTGACATAAAAAAAAAAAATTCAGAATTTTTACATGTAAAATAAAAATGATTAATTTAGGTTATCATAGTATGGAGAGCCATGTCAACCAAAACTAAATGAAGAAATAAATAGGGAAAATAAATAAATAAAAAATGAGTAAAACAAATAAATAATCAAGCAATTGGAATATTTATTCCCATTTATATTTATACATTTATTTATTCACGGATTCATTTATTACCCCTTTGAAAATGAAAATGATAAATGAAAAAAAAAACAGGCTTTTTACATTAATTTTGTAAATCGTTGCTCAGGTTTGTGTCAGATCATGCCCCTGCTGGTTGCCAGGCGCTACTGCAGCACAGACTCATCCAAGCCAATCAGAAGATGCAGCAAAGCCTCGGCTCCTTCCCCGAGGCTGCGCGGACCTATCCGCTGTCTCTGCTGGAGTGGACGGCCAATAGGAAGAAGGCAAACATGGTGCTGCAGGTGCACTGCTTTGATGGTGAGACGCTTGTCTACAAATGGAAAATGTTTATATTTTTCCGTTCTCAAGGAAATGCAAAAAGTCTAAAAGGTGAATAGTAAATCAAATGCGTTGTTAGAAATGAACTTCCGTATATCTGTTTTAAAATGTATTTTTAAAGCAAATACTCTTAGCCGCTGGTTTGTATGCAGCTTTTTATCGATTAATTGAAAGGCCATGCTCAACGTAAAGAAGACATATCCACCAGACATCACTATTATTCAGCGAGATCAGTTACAGCCTCATTATCCCACTATTGATTATTCATTACCAGGTCGTATCAGGTGGCTTGAACGCCGCTGGCTTTTAAAGGGACGCATTATCCGGTCTCCATAGCTGAAATGATTTTTCAGAAGATAAATAAAATAAGGCCACAGCTTTTTAAAATTTGCTACTTTTCTTCTGCAGGAGGATCCTTCCTGTGTCCCGTTCATTCTTGGACCAGCGGGGAGGATTTAGCGGGACATATCCTGCGTCACAGGTGCTAATAATGGACTCAGCTAATTTGTATTGTAGGCATTCCTTCAGAAAAACAATGTGCTCCATATTTATTAAATGTATACTGAAATAAAGATGTGAATTAATCTTCACTTGCAGTAGCCTAACATAACAAAACAAATCTAACATTTGTTGAAGACTGGTGAGAAAAATCTGCTTCTGTGTCACAATGTTACAAAGTTAAACCTGTATAAAACTGAAAATACCTTTTATTCTGTGTTTAGTTTGATTATACTAATTATTTCAATGATGTTAAAATTCATATTGAATATATTTTAACATTAAAGGATAAACTCATGTATTTCTCTCTGATTCCAAATCCAGATTTTGTGATTTTCACAATTTATTTACAGAAAAGTTAACATTGTCAAATACCAAAAAGGATGTATATTCATACAAGTCAGGGACCTAATCAACAAATTATAACATATGGTAATATTTTAACTTAGAAAGAAACAAGAAACCACTATTTTGTGAAATATCCCAGCTTTAATGGACTTTTTAATCCACACACACCAGTTGTTCTTGTTGCTTTTTGGCTCAGGTAACAACATAACTAATTCCTCATATTGATGCTTGCTTGAATTGAACAGACTCAGACTATCCAACTACTTTTTGAAACACATTGTTGCGTATATAATAAAAAAAACAATTGAAATAACTTCATAAGATGCGTTTTTCTTACCGTCCTCTGAGTAAAAGTACTGAAAAGGTCGGTTTATTTATTTTTTTACAGGGATGCTAATTAATGTGGAGGATGCTGTAGATAACAGTTGGGCACCCGGCATTGTTTTGGCTTTGCAGAGGAGTTTCCGACTGGTGGAGGGGGAGTTCGGTTCTGATGAAGGAGCAGAGCCAGTGGGTGGAGTTAGCCGGCCATGACTATGTGCTGGACCTGATAGCGGACCTGGAGCTTCCTGTGGACTTTCCCAAGCAAAAGAGTTACTTCATCATCAGCACTGATAACCCAGCTAGAGTCAGAGCTAATACCAGCCTGTCAGTCTGCAGAATACGCTCAGTAACATCAAATCCAGTAACGAGAACCTCTGGTTTGTGTTTGATATGGTGGATTATTCCCTCTCTTTTCCCAGCACCTTGTTGGGCAGCGGCTTTGACTCAGACGAGGAGCTTCCATCTTCCTTTCCTCTGAGCAGCAGCGGCAGCAGACCAGCCCACAGCCTGCCTGACTCTGATGGTTACTACAGTCACGGTGCACAAACACACACTGAGTAGTTCACAGAACAAGAATAAAAAGACGTTTGTAGGGACGATTTGACCTACAGGAGGCTGTATACACAACTGCTGAAACGAATCATCATCACAGTGAAACTTGTCGTCCTTTACTAGTACGAAATATGTTTTTGGGTAAAAGTAAGGATGATGATTACACTTTCTCCTTTTCACATACATATATTTCCATGTTCAGAGTTGACAAATTCTGTAATGTAAAAAAAAGGAAAATCTGAACACGAGTTACAAGTTTCCGGCTCAAGATAGTGATTCCTTTGTGCCGATTTCATCCAGTGATGGGGAGGAAGTTTGGAGAAATGTCCTAATAGACTGCCACCCTGACCTGTGATTGACAGCGCTCACTCAGCATAAAGTAATACACCTAACTAAATATGTGTAAAAAAAAATAAAAATAAGAAAAGTTTCGTTTCTATTCAAAATCAATATTTCCTATGGGATTCTACACTACAAAATACGCTACATGTTGCGGTATATCGCCAACTTGTTGATTTTATGCCTAGGAAACTTGATGTTTTCCTTAAAAATCATATTGACTTTGTTTTCACATTATGGTCGTCTGTGAAACTCAGCCTTGTGAGAACTATGGAAATTGTTCTCATGCTCATTGAGATGCTGATTAAAATCTTTTCAAAGGAGGTTTCACCCTCTATTATCCCGCCTGTTTTTCTGTATCCAGCAGAATCGGACACGTTCAGCGACGGTCAGACTCAGAGAGGAATGGACCGCTACCTGGACAGCCTGTTTGACCCGGTTCTGTCAGATGACGGCGTGGTGAGTGTTCACACTGACGTCCTGCAAGTGACACAAATAAATTCACTTTCAAAAGTTTTTGCAACATAACTTTTACACTTATCGTTTTCCTCCCACTTCACAATGATGAACTACGTCGTGTTGGTCTTTCACATAAAATCCCAGTAAATAGGTTGAAGTTGCTAGTGGGGGCTAAATATGGAAAAGCTCGCAGACTGTAAATACTCTTGAAAGACACTGGCAAAAAGCTGCAGCTGCATTTTCAATAGATTTACGGATTTATCAGTTAAAAAAAGGTCCTCAAAAACCAAAATGAGAACGCGTTATGGTTTTAATCTTGCAGGTTGAACAAGTAGCCAGCTGAAGTCCTGAGAGTTCATGAAAATGAGTCTGATAGATGGGTGGAACATGTGACCTACCGTCTCTGTTTGTGTATGAATGGGGCAGACAATGAGGATGATTAGGTTTCTGAAGGACCTACCGTATATGATCGCAACAGCGGGCAGAGAACTTTAACATGCAGGTGAACGATTCTCTTCTCACCACAGTTTATCGTGTATTATGAAAAAGAAAAGAAAGAGACACCAGGCAGATTTTTCCTATGTATTTTCATATGTGACAGCTTGCTAGCTTGTTAACACAAACTCATTTTGATCGGGGGAATTTCCAAACTAGAAAATCTGCAAACCAAAGTTATTTTTGCGTGAAAAAAAAAAAAACCTTAAAGGTTGAGATGTACTGCAGAAGTGTATATTTTGTGTCCTAACAAGTGTGACTGTGTGTGGTTGAGCATCACCTACAGTGTGTGTGGTAGTACCTGGAGAGTATTCAGTTCCTGCGGCTCCACTCGCAGGATGATTCAGCCACGGTCTGAATCGTGCAGCGCACTACGTCTCGCGGTCTCTTTGCTGTTAATCCCGTTCTCTCTGTCGTTTAAACTCCAGTTTTTCACCATCTGCAAACATTTCTTGTTGTTCCTCTGCCCGATCCAAATGACCTTTCTGTCGGCAAGAACATGGAAAAGGCCGCCTTGTCTACCAGAATGAAGGGAGGAGGAGGCGTCGGCGTCGCAGGGGAAGGCGGCGGCGAGGGGCAAGCGACTCCCACCCGGCCTTATCCACCGGGGATTCGTCCTGGAGGTGAAACTCTGAACCTTCCCTCTGTGCAGTTTCTGTCCCGACTGTGCAGCCTATTACTTTATTTTGTATTTCCTCTGCATTTTTTATTTAATTTTTTTTACATTTCTGTCCACAGCTCTTCCTTTGTGTTGTGGTGTGAATCTTTGAGACCATAGTAAGATTCCTCACTATAAATGCTTCAAACTAATTGGTTCAAAATGTGCTGAGTTGATTTCTTTTAGTCTCACACAAAGGAACTTATTTAATACACTATAGTGATTTTGTTTTTATTGTAAAGGTTGATAAACTCTGTAGGGCTGTTTAAAGATTCATGTTCACGGATCAACACTCCTAATCTGGCGATTAGGAGCCACAATGAGCACCAACCTCATTCATAATGCATCAATAGCATCCACTGCAACAACAGGTGTTTTTAAATGACATGGCTATCGTTTCACTCCTAGTTTCCACATTTTTATTAATAAAATAATCTTATTTCTATTAGGGCTGCCATCTTTACTCTTCTAATTTTTTTTCTACTTCTTTGTCGTTGCAACTTATGACACATTCATGAGTCATCTCGTATAATTAATGGATAATTAGGCAGAAAGTGAAGAAAACTGAGTATATTATCAACTTATAGTATAACTAGAGTTAACAAATGATTGCTGTCTCTGTGTGGGGATTAATTGTGCCTCGCAATAGTATTCAGTAATACATAGTTGGGAAGTTGTATGCTCTAAACATACAACTAGAGCAGCAATTGTCTGGTTTGGACTGAAACATCTTTATGGTCGAGGCAAACATCCAAATAAGGATTTGTGGGAAAATTAACATTCACATCCAACCACCATGACTTCTGAAGAAGAATAAGCAACAATTCACTTTGGATAGATGGGCAAACTGGATTTAAATCACCAATTCAATTTGGTTCAATTCAGTTAGTAAAGCTCCTATTCCCAATACATACCAAAGCAGCACCACTGCAACAACAGGTGTTTTTAAATGACATGGCTATCGTTTCACTCCTAGTTTCCACATTTTTATTAATAAAATAATCTTATTCCTATTAGGGATTAGGCAGAAAGTGAAGAAAACTGAGTATATTATCAACTTATAGTATAACTAGACCGGACACTCTTTTATAAGTTGGTGTTGGAAAAAATGTTTTGTTTATTGGAATCTTTAAATCTTTGTTATGTCTCTAAAATGCAGATTGATTATTTTACTGAGGGTTAACTATCCACCAGTGCTCCAAAGCGGCAGCAGAAAGCATTCCCTTGACTCTGATTTTGTTCTCTACCTGCTGCTCTTGAAGCCGTCCCAGTGCTCCCAGTGGCCGGAGGAATGATGCCCCCCAGGCCAGTCCCCTCCTACCACCATCACCAAGAACGACACCAGCAGGAAGAGGAAGAGCCGCAGCAGCCCGAGTACCATCAATACAACCGTCCCCAACAGCCCTACCCTCCACCCGCCTCCCCCACTCCCGCCTCTCGCGTAACGCCCACTCCTTTGCCCACCCGGGCCCCCGCTTCAGTGCCCACAGCTGCCCAAGCAGCTGCGAGGGAAACGGACGCATCGTCTTATCTCGGGGGCGTCCCGGGCCTGCCGGGGATGACTGCTCTCCCGACGTTGCCCGCAGTCCCAGGCTTGCCTGTGATGACAGGTGTGCCAGGTATAAGGAGAACGAGGCATGTGGCTTTCCAGCATGTGTGGCCTGAAACGAGTGGGCGTGGTGGGCTTCACCTACGGCTCAGAGTGAAAGCTTTAATCATGATTCCTGCCTTTCTAAAGCAGTTCTAGACTTCCAGTATGCTTTGTTGCAGTGAAATAAATGCACGCTCGGCATTTTACCGTGATATAATTGCATCGTTGTTGTTTCACCGTCGATTTCTTCCTCGTTTTCCTCAGGATCGGAGCAGGTGGTGCTGACTCAGCAACAACAAGCCATCATCAACCAGCAAGCTATCATTCTGGTGGGAATCATTTAATGTTGCTGTTATTTCCTACACTGTAGTTTCTCAAAGTGAATAATTATAATTTTTTACTTAACACTTGATGAAGTAAAAAAAAAGGTTTTGCAAAAAATATGGCCAGGCTCAGCCGGGGAACCACTGGAAGATGGGACAGGAAAAGAAGAAATGTTTTTTTGTGTGTTTTTCTAGAAAGAAAAATGTAAATAAGGCAAATTAATTATGATAAATGTCAAGCAAAATGATCAAATGAAGCAGAAAGATCTGCATAATAACCAACATAAAGCAGAACATTTACTGCAGCATCCTGTAGAAAAAAAATACCTTTCAATCTATAACTCACAGGTGTAAATTAATTTCCCGAACAAGCCCCAGTGATTGGTATTGTCCTGGGGAATTACATTAATTTTGCTGTAGATGTATAAGCAGATTATTGTTATGTTAAAAACACTTGACAAGTTGCAAAACTGACGAACCCAAAATGTTATTCAAAATGAATGAGATATCTTCAACTAAAGTACCTGCTCAATACATTTCTATGAGCAAATCACTTTCATCCTGGAGTACGTGTGGAATCACTATTTTCAAAAGGTTAGAGAAAATATTGATCAACTAAACCAGTGCTTCTCAAAAAGTGGGGCGGGCCCCCTTTGGGGGGCGCGGTGCGATACCTGGGGGGGCGCATGTGATCCTGGGGAACAGGCTTTTTTTTGGCCGTACTAGTATAAAGTGTAATTGCGCACAGTAGGCGGCAGTGGCGCTCTCATTGTTACTTCTGTCACGTTTGCGCCAGTGCAACATTTTACGACTTACAAGACAACAGGTTTGCCTTGGTTAGCAGTGTTAAGTCAACAAAAAGCTCCGACTGCGTTCTGTCTATGGCCTCCGTTATTCAACAATCCCCAACATGAAAAAGTTTTTCACAGGGATGAAAAGAAAAGCGGAGAGAGACAAAGATAATGAGACAACAGAAAGTCAACCGAAAGCTAAGAAGAGGAAATACGACGAAGCGTATTTAGCGCTTGGCTTCACTGTGACTACAGTTGGAGAGAGGAAAGACCGGTGTGTTTGCTGTGTCTAAAAATGCTCGCAGCGGACAGCATGAAGCCAAATAAATTAGCGCGTCACTTAAATACGTTACATCCCAATCACGTCGATAAGCCGCTAGAGTTTTTTCAGCGAAAAAAATGTTGAGGAAAAAATGTTATGCAGAGATGGATAGTCTCGGTGGGGAGTGGGGGGCGCGAATAGTTTTCTTCTTGCTAGGGGGGGCGTAACGGAAAATAATTGAGAAGCACTGAACTAAACTAACTAGAAAAGCTTCATAGGAGTGTAAACAAGCCTATTTTTAACAATTATCTTTACCAAACTAGTCTTGCATTATAAAAATGTAATTTTAGAGCTTTCTAATTCTTGCCAGACAGTCAGACATTAATCGTTTCTTTTCTTATCTGTTCTTGAATCTCTTTGAATTGGGGACTGATGTGTTGCTTTTTGAGATATTTCATGTTGTCAGTTTCTGTCTTGGTGATGGGAAGGAAGTAATTGAGCCTCGGCCAGTAAAAACTGATTTAACATCTAGGTGCAACTGAAAAGAAAAAACAAAATGAACTTTACATTCACGTCCTACAAAGCAGCAGACCTGTAATTCCTAATGTCAATCTGGTGCAGGCGCAGCAGATGACCATGCAGGCCATGGCGATCCAGCAGCAGATGTTGTCTTCCTTCCCTCCTGTTGCTCCAGCTCCCCAGACGCCACCACCGCACCACCACGCAAACCCGCCGCAGCGCTCACACACACCGAGCCCCGTGAGTAAAAGCATCCCATTGTATGCTACTTTCATCAACTTTCAAATATCATCTTGGTTTTTGTTTGTCTGCAGTCCAAAGAGAGCAGCGAGTCGCACAAGTCCAGCCCTGCTGCCGTCCAGCGGAAAACGAGTACGTCTGGTTGTTATTATATTCTGCAAATGTAGACATTAAGCTTTTCTGGTATTTTCTCATTTTTGGTGCATTTTCCAGGTACGACTCGTGGGCCGCCTCCTGAGGATGTTGTCCGGTCCAGTGTGAGCAACACGGAGCGAATCGATCCGAGCCACGACATTAAAGACATAATCAAGCAGCACCAGCCAGCAGGCACAACATCCTCAGTTGGGTCTCCAACTCAAAGGTAGCTCACTGAGTTATGTCAACGCAGATATCCTTATTAAATAAAATTTTCCTCATCCTTACATGTTTCAAGAATGCTGAGAAGGAATCGGTTAACAGATTGTTACACTTTCGTTTCTTGGGATTTTATTTCAATCAGATTTAAACTTATTTTTTTATTCACCTGTATCTGATTGGTCAGATCTAAAAACAGTGTTTAGTTGAGGGATTTTTTAAGTATATATCAAGAAAGTGTATAATAATCTGGTATGTATTCATCGTTATTTTCTTGTGCGTGCAGAAAAAGTGACGGGAAGAAGTTTGCCAAGAAACCTGACCCCCATGACGAAGCTATGGAGATCCTTAAAGATCAAATGGCAAATCCCCCGCAACCGGTAAATCGCAACCCCTAGAACTCTTTGGACAAGATTAATGCTGCAGTAAGGTATTAAAAGTTATCAAGCCTGCTCTGGGTGTAGCATAGGGCAGCATGGTAGCATAGGCAGTATATTTACCCTGTGAGGTTAGCATGTATCTTCCTGGTTTGGTCGCAAGAGAATATATTGCAGGACTCGGATACAGAATAAACAACGGTGGGAAGAAATATTTGGAATTGCCAAGTACTAAGAGTGTATTATGCAGTGTTATGATTGTCACTGAAAGAGATCTTCCAACTTTGCTGCGGTTGAGCAAAGTTAGAATGATTGTAGATGTTTTGGGAACCATAATCTGGTGTGAAGAGGGCCTAATCTACTTGAACACCAACTAGCTGCTACTTGTCATTTCCTGATGCTCAGTCACAGAAGAAGCCTCCACCCTCCCAACCCCAACCTAAGGAAGAGGAAAAAGTAAAAGCCGTCAAAGTAGCCAAGCCTCAACCTGCAGAGTTTGCAGCCAGTTCCATCATGATCCCCTCCCATCCTCCAGGTGAGCTTTTCCGAAAACTAGACATTGAAATAAACAGAAAAATACACAGCACATTTTACGCTCGCAGACTTTAACGTAAAGAGGAAGTCTGGTTGGACTTCATTCATGTGTCTGTCCAGTCTCTAGAGATTTACCAGTGGAAGAGGAGAATGTTCAGACTCAACTCCACAGCAGAACCAGTGATGAATATTACACCTACTCTAATGTCCCCTGGAAACTCTTCATGAGGAAGGAGGTGGGTTTAAGATCTTTTCTCCTCTAAATTTATTTTGCATTGCGACTAAATGCTTTGAGAGATGGGAATAATGAACACTTAATACCACATTTTGTGTCTCTGTGATATTTACTTGCTTTACTGTCATTATTTTTTGTCTCGATGCAGGTTTTCTACCCCAAAGAGAACTTGAATAACCCTCTGATCCTGGACTTAATTTTCAGACAGGTTGGTCAAAGGAATTTGTAGACATTAAAAGACAGTATGTCAGTTTTTTTGTCACCATATATCTGGGTAATTGTTTAAGTTTAATTTCAAATTGAAATAGGCTCATGTGATACTTTAATCAGATGTGGGATATTGAAAAATTACAAATTATTAAAAATGAATAACCAGAGATGGAACCAGAGACTGCAACAATAGACTCTTGCTGATGATGGATTTGTTGATTTTTAAGTGATTATTCAGATCAGGGATGAAGTTGTGCACGATTAGTTTTAAAATGACAAAAGAGTATTATTTAATCCAGTACCTAAGAGTATTTGACAATGTGACACAAGCTTTGAAATGGACACCACAAACATGTCAAAGAAGGTGATATGGTCATAACTAAGCTTCTAGACCTACATATGGAAGAAAACAAACCGTCTCTACAGTGAAACATTCTGATGGTGGCATCTTGCAAGGTAATGCATGCTTTTGTCTCTCTTTTGCAGATCGTACACGATACCTTCTCCGAAGCCTGCGTCCGCATCACTCAGGAAGAGAGACAGAAGATGAAAGACCTTTTCGGTAAACAAAACCTAACAAAATAAAGATCAAACGCGTATCAATCATTCCTGCTGCGGGTCTTTGGATGAAACTTTGAAGAACCCGTCTTCTTTTTAACAGCGGAGAACAAAGTGGATCAGGCTTCAGGAACGCATGACGAAAGCGTGAAGAAAAAAGTGGTGACCATGGCCAAAGACTCTTGGGAGATCTACTTCTCCCGCCTCTTCCCCGCCTCTGTGAGTTCCCCAAGTCTGCATCCCTCCTTCTTTTGGCCCGCACGAGTATCGGACCACAGTTGCATGTGTTCGGTTCATGTGTGCTTTTCAGGGCAGCGTGGGAACGGGAGTGCAGGTCTTGTCCGTGTCGCATAAAGGCATAAAGCTGCTGAAGCTGGTGAAGAGCGGCTCGACCGCTTCAGACTACTTCAGGGTGTTGAGGCCTTACAGGTGAACTTAAATTTTGGATTAGTGATTGAAATTTGCAAAGGTTTACAAGGAACATCTGTTGCACTAAAGCATCAGCCACACCTAAGCTGTACACTACAGTATAATCCAACCAATGCTGTTAACACTGTAAGTTATGTCCTCGTTTTTACTTATAAATTACAGATGTTACGAATGTATTGCAATAATCTAGGGTCCTTATGACTCAGGAGGACAGCTGGAAGGAAATAATGTGGGTCAGAACAAACTGATCTTCTGTCCTAAGGGACACTTGGGTGGTTCCTGAGTTAAAGTATTGCAAGGAATGTTCTTCTTCTGAAGGTTTTCAAGATTTAGTGAAAAAGAAAAACATCATTTTTCCAATTCTAGGATTTTTCCCACCAATCCTCAATAAAAATGACTTGCTTTTTTCCAAGTGCAAAAACTATTCAAAAATAAGCTGTATGCACACAGATTAGTGCATATAAACACAAACCTGATTCTAAACTATTATTATTCACTGACTAAATGTACCAGCTAGCAGAAGTCTGGTATTTCTTTCAGATGCAACTCTGAACGTAAAACACAACCGTAAAACCATATGTGTAGTTATCACTGCAAAACAAGGTAAATGACAATCTATAAAATAGAATAATATTGGCAAAACAGTGCAAATGAAAAATTTAATTGAGACAGGTTGCCTTTCAGACATACTGCAGCCCTATAAACATTCCCAGATTAATAGCCACACTGAAGATCTATGAATGTGTGTACTTGCCATTCTGGCTTTTTCAGTAGAAATAATTTCAGTACCTGCTCTTGAATAGATGATGTTTATTGTATCAGAGTTTTCCTACGGCGTACTACAGATGTGTTAGAAGCAGTTCTAAGCAATGAAATAGAAAAATTAGACCACTTAAGAAGAATCTTGACCTGCTTTGTCATTAACCTCACCTCCTGACCTTTGACTCCCTGTGCAGCTATTCGGACATCCTGTTTGTGTCTATCCCGTCGAAGAACATGCTGGAGTTCAACTTGACCAATGAGAAACTGATTCTGTTCTCTGCCAAAGCGCCGCAGGTCAAACATATGATCGACTACTTCCTCACAGAGCTCAAGAAGGTCAGAGAGACGTGTTCCACCGCTCACTCGCTGTTCTGCATGTCTGTCGTTTGAGTTTGCATTCTTTCTCTCTTTGAACCAGTAGCGCTATTTCTGATGGACTGACATGGTGGCTCAATGTCTTTATTGGTGGCGCATTATTGTAAAGTGGAAGAATTTTCAAGTATCAAGTACATTTTTACTCAACCCCTCACCTCTCTGACGTAACCTAATTAGAAAATCTAACCATGTGCGATTTCTCAGGACTCGGAGTACATGGTGGCGGTGAGGAATTACATCACTGAGAACAGGAATCACCTCAGCTTCCACAAAGGAGACATCATCCGGCTGCAGCACATGGATGGGCTGGAATCTGGTGAGAAACTTGGTGTAGACGCAAGAACAAGCATAAAAAAGTCTGGCTGTATTGCATGTTCTTTGTGCTTGTTTTTAACCTGATATATCCTTTCTATTTAATTTTGTTTTCAACAAAATATGTTGTCATCATTGTTTGCGTGTGGATTTGTATGCAGGAAAACAATATGGCTGCATTGTGAGGAAAACTGTCATGCTTCTGGAGGAGCTGAAGAGGGACACCCCAGAGTTTGGTGGGTGTGGCATAACTTTTTCTTTCCTGTGTGTTTGGTGAATATATTTTTGGTTATAATATGACCTGTGTTGCTCTTCTAGTTTTCTGTTTCAAAACATTTTTAAATAAAATTTGTTATATTCTTTCCTCAGAGTATATAAAGCAAAAAACAATATATTTCCAGTTCATTCCTCTTCCTTTTGCTAATTTGATGTGACCCTTTTTGTTTTGGGGGGGACTTTAAATATATATTTCATGTTTCCGAATGAGACAGGTTGGCGTTTCGGGGCTGTTTTTGGGAGGTCCGGAGTGTTTCCCAGCAATTACGTCCATCCTGTAGCTGCTCCTGACTTCCTGTTTCTGCCAGCGGAGCGTGCGGAGCCCCGCGACAGGCACGGACGGGTTGCCGCATCAGCTGCCGTTGCTGTGGCGATGGGCTCGGCTGTAGCTGCCCATGAGCTCGAGCTTTCCACAGAGGTGCAGACAGATTATACTTCCAAATTGCAGTGCACAAATATACTTTTGGGTTAAAACGCTGTTGTATGTTTGTGTGTGTCAGGTCGTGAACGAGATGTACGGGGACAGCTGGAGTGTGGAAATGGACGAGCTGCCTCTGCACAGCAATCAGTATTTAATGACTGAGTTTGCCAAGAAGTACTTCAGAGAAGCCCAGAGGAACAGGAGGTCAGGCAGATGCACTCCAACACATGTTCAGCCAAAACAGAGCCAGAATCAAGCCCTGATTTTACATTTGATAAATAAATATGACCGACCGTTCTGTTGTTTATCCCTCACAGTGAGCAGAAAGCCAAAAAAGGGAAGGAGGCCAGAGATCCTGCTGATATGATCAAATTCTCCAAGGTGATTCTACGGACCCCGCTCAAGCTCACACTTATGTCTAAACTTGTGCAGTTTGTTGCGTTATATTGTAAAGATAAGGAAAGAAAAAGATCATCCAATGGTCCTGCATGACTGGTTGAAGGATGTGGTTTATTAGGCACTCCATTTTAACTCAGAAGGTAAAATAAAGTCCAAGTTTTACCCAGTCGCAAAATTCAACATGGCCTCCTTTTTTACAAAACATGGTTTATTTGCACTTCCTACATTATGCATCTCATGAAATTAGTCATAAACACAGTACTCTACAGGTTGTCTCAGTGAAGATGTTGCCATAGTGTTTGAAAGTTCAAAATACACAAAAATATATTGGTTATTATTATTAGCTTGAATTGCTAATAGTAGTTGATCATTGGCACATTTCTCCATGTTTTGTTTTTAGTCTCCAATCCACGAGTCTCTGATTGACTTCTCTGACAGTGGGATGAACAGAGTGGCTGCTGATATCTCTATAGGTAAGAAGAGAACTGACTGGAGTGACAGACATCTGTTGGGAACCTTGGCATAAACTTTAAATTATGATTACAGTTGAGCTACACATGTTTAGCGTCTCTCTCTCATTTGTGTTCTGATTATTTTTCTCACAAGTGATTTATAAATAAAGTTTTATAAATTTTTTCCCAGCTATTATGAAGTTTATGGGAGATTTTCCAATGAAAGGCCAGACTGAGCAGGACCTGGTGGCTACTATACTAAAGGTATCATTTTTGCTGCGATCAATTCTCAATAAGATGCATTTATGTGTTTTTTGAGCATCATTTATATATTCCTTGATCACTGCAGTTAAGTAGCGACCACGGTCTGATAAAGGACGAAGCCTACTGCCAAGTGATGAAGCAGGTCACTACCAACACCAGTTCCAAACAGTAAGTCCTCCAGTCCTCTCAGGTTGCCCTCAGAGATGGGGTGATGGAGTAGCTTTAAGTATGTGTGTGTTTCCTGCAGGGATAGTTGCCAGAGAGGGTGGAGGCTGCTGTACATCCTAACAGCTTTTCATCGCTGCTCCGACGTCATGAAGCCTTTTCTGCTGAGGTTCCTGCAGGATGCCTGTGACAGCCCTGGGATGCCATACCAAGGTACGCAACCGATTAATTCATGTTCCTTCACATCAGACTAAAAGACTGCATTAAGATGCTAAAGATTTACCACAACATGGACAATCTTTGTAGAACCTTGATAGTTGGTATGAACTAAGGATACAGAAGACTCCATTTCCATAAAAACTGCCAGACTGTTTCGACGATTAAAGCATATGTCTGCCGTAATATGCTTGTGGCGGCTCATTATATGGATGACAGGATATCAGTACCACAGAGGACCACATGTAAAAGGTGGCACTTTTACATGTGATTGGGGTGAACCTCCATGGTTGCCCATCCAAACATCTGGAGAATGCTTGTCTACATGCCAACCTCTCGGACAGTTCTCCAAAAACTTTATCGAAATGGTTTTGCAAACACAAAGACACGTCCAGTTCTGCCTCTGCTCCAGGTGCAGCCTGAGGGATCTAGCCAAACAGCTAAAACACAGAATTCACAACCTCAATAAAAAAAGGCGCAGTGCCTTGCACATAGAGATTGGAATGCGTTGGCTTCTAGTGGGGAGACGTACACACCCTTCATTGCAGAGAGACCAAGAAAAGTTTTTTTTTTTCAAGCTGGGGAGCCAATGTGAAATGATTTTATCCCATTGACAAATCATATAAAGGGCTGAACAGGGATGAGGAAGAGGAAAGAAGGGGATCATAGTGATCAGCCCAGGGTGATTAAAGGATGTGGAGATTGAGCCAGTGTTTCTTTGACTGTATTTTCTGAAAAATCCACACCGAGCGCTACACCATTTTGAAATTACTGCACAGAATGGCATGCACTGTAAAGAAACACCTGATGATGCAAAAATAAGCTGATGAAAGTCCTTGTTATGTCCGTCCCTTCAGAGTGAGACAGAAACTGATGATGGGGCTGCAGAAACCTCCTGTTTAAAAAGAAAAAAAAAAACAGATGGTTGCACAGAGCAGATGCCATACAAACATGTTTCCTGGTGGAGAAATTCTGGACACAGTCCTGGAAAAGCAGAGGAGAAACCTTTATTTTTTTTTTACTTGCTTAATGAGCTGAGTAGGGTCATACCTGGCGTCCCACTGTAGCAGAGTTTTCTTGCTTGGCTACGATCCAGCAGCATTTGAAGGATCACAGAGGTTCAGGAGACCTGGCGCAGGTCTTTATAGGTTGAGAACCATTCCCAGTGTTGTCATTGTGATCAGTTCTTCGCCAACAGACTGAGGTTCATCATAGTTCTGTATTAAAGTGTTTACTACCTGCTGGTTTAATTTGACAGGTATCGCCAAGGCTTGTCAGGAGAATCTGAAGAGGACATTCCAATATGGTGGACGTATTCAGTATCCTAACAGTATGGAGATCAAGGCAATACTGGTTAGTTGTTTTATTTCCTTGTCAATTATCCTTGGATCTATATATATATTGCTATATTGTTAGACTGAGGAAAGCAGATAAAAAGAAAACAATTGCCACACTGGAACAAATATGACAGGATAAATTAAAATATAAATCAATAACTCAAATTTTAAGTTGTGATTTATCCAAAATAGCAATGACTGTTAGTACATGGGCTTTTTTGCTATAAAGTTTGCTACTATAATGACAGAGACGTTACCTTATTATTTTTGGATTGACCAACACAAAGTATCACATATCTGTAAAATACAAATAAGTGATTCTTCTTTACCTACTTGGCTCACCAGCTTTCCCACCACTGCTGACCAAAAAGGATCCCCATAGTGTCATACTTCCACCACCGTGTTTTACTTTGTAGATTATGTAGATTGTGTCTTTTGCCAAACATACCAACCATTTTGTGGGTTGAGGTCAAAAAGTTGCTGATTAGTGGTCCATTACCCAGCCTGAGTTTAGGTGGAAGGATATATCCTAGTACGTTTGACCTATATTCTTATAACTTCCAGAAGATGGATTGAATAAAGCTGCATGAGATATGTAAAGTTTGGGACGGTTAGGTTTCATGTTGTATTAAGAGCCAAATGTAGAGAGGCCAGTGGCAGACAGAGTCGGTGGGATTTGACAAATAAAATGACTTATGAAAAGAAAGGAAATTAACTCAACACTTTAAAGCGATTGCAGATCTGGCAGCCAGCAAGAAGAGAGCTAGCATCGAAGAGAAAGGCAATGGCAAACAGACTACAATAAACAAAAGAATCTGGCAGGGAAGAAAGGAAACAAAGAGACTTTAAACTACTGGGAGAGTTCATGAGTGGGATGGGAATCAGGTGTGACTAATGCATTGCAGCTGAAGAAGAAACCGATCAGGGAAAACGGGACGACTTTAACCACGATAATAAACAACCCAAAAGCAATCCAAATACAAATACAAGTGAGAACCAAAAAACACAAACACCTGTGGATTTTCAGATCACTGCTTTATGCTTTGAGATTGGTCTGCATGCTGGCTCCTTGGTCTTCATGATGCTGCTCATTCACTAGTGTTTTCTAACAAACCTCTGTGACCTTCACAGAGCAACTGGATTCATACTGAGAATAAACTGAGGAAAAGCTGAGTCAATTTATAAATTACATTCATTCTAAAGGCAGTGGGTTTGAATTGAATTTTTATTGCTCTAGAAGTGTTCAAATGCTCACCTTTGTTTTTGTGAAGATGTAGTTTATTCCTCTTCACAATTTGCTACTTTGTATTGGTCTAGCACATAAAAACCCAACAAAATATACTGATGTCTTTGGTTTTGATGTTTCTGTTTGTCTTGAATGTATATTTTGATAGTTGTTCTCAAAGAAACAAAGTCATAGATCAATTAACAAACCTGCTCCATGATGTTATTAAAAAAAATACAATTTTTTCCGATTTGAAAACATTGTATGATTATTTTATTGTTTGTAAAGATTTACAGATTACTGCTTTGGTGATCGACTCAAACCTTTCCCACTTGTTGGAAACAAAAACATTGCTTTAGGCCACGGAGATTTGTCACAGTTCATTGTCTTCCAAATAAAATGGTATCAGTGAAACTGATACCCGACTTGAAGAAGGGCCTGTCTGAATTTGCTGAGCGTTGAGCAACAGAAACTCGCAGTCAAACAGTGTCTGCAGTAATACACAGCACAATCAGAAAAAGTGAACGCTGTTTGGGAAGACTTGTTTTGACAGATTTGTTCTAATCCTGTATGGAAAAGTTTATATTTGTAGTTTTAAGTGCTTTGCTTAAATACATGGCAGAGGGCTATTGAGGACTCACTCATGACAGCAGTGCTGTTTGGTTACGTGGATGGGTTTTCTGATATTTTTTCTTTTCTTTTGGCTGTGTGTAGGCTGGGCGCAGCTCAAAGAGACAACTTTTTCTTCTTCCGGGTGGGATTGAAAGGCACTTGAAAATCAAAACATGCTCTGTAAGTGTAACTCAGATTCAAAGAGGACCGGTAACAGTAGCTGTAATGAACTGTAAACATTAAACATTACGACTGCATGCAGTCTATTCGGACCAAGTGAAAAATAGTTGTGGATGGTATAAAAGTAGGAAGAAAAACAACACGCGTGCTAAATCTGTGAGGAAGGATGGATGTTAACAAACTTATTTATGTCAGGTCGCGTTGGATGCAATTGAGGAGCTCTGCTCAGAAATGGGACTACAAAGACTGGAGGCGTTGGACGAGTATGCAGTCTTTCTGGTTACACACAAAGGTAAAGTGTGGAGGTTTTGCTGTGGGGGAACTTGAAAATCTCAACACCTTTTACATTATGTAGCTGCATAATATTTGATAACGGTGCTGCTCTCTTGTGTAGGTCAGAATGTGCGTCCCCTGAACAAGCGTGAGTACATCCTGGACATCGCCACAGAGGCCGAGCCAGTGGATGCCAGCTACAGTCTGTGGTTTAGAAGGGTCGTATGGAGTCTGGCTCTTAAACTTGACAATGAGCTTTACGTCACCATGCACTACAACCAGGTACAGCATGGTCGTTTAAGCTGCGCAATGGCTAAACATCCCTCTAGCCATCTGGTCACAAAGTTACAAGTCACCCAGAGACGTTATCTCTCCTCTCCAGCTCACTCTGCGGGATCTCCAGGTGTTTTAGAAGGGATAAATAGAAACCCAGACCAGTTTAAATGACTGGAGGAGCAGCAGCATTATTCCAAAACCCTTTGGTCTTCCTTTAGGGGAAGGAAACTTGCTTCTGCCTTCTGTTTCGGGATCTTTTTTGGTCAGGATTTATGTCTCATGACCATTAGTTGGGGGGCAGGAAGGTAGACAGATCAGTTAATCTTCACTTTCTGGCTCAGCATTGCTGCAGACAAAGCCCCATTCTATCTATTTGTCTCACCCGGTTTCTGTTTAAACAAGTACAAATGAATGAAGCACTCAACATAAATGTCAAATGGACTGAAAGAAAAGCTGGAAACTATCTAGAAATGGCTTCATTTGCTTGCTCCTCTCTGCCGTACCTATAAAACCAGAGCTAGCCTTTCTCCCTGGCTTATGCAGGCTCATACAAGGAAACAGCTGAAACAGGGTGGACTCAGAACAAAGCAGAATCTATTATTCTTCAGTTTTTAAGGGAGGATGGAAGCATATATAACAAGTGCTCACAAAGGGGCATCTGCATTTTATTGGAAACTGTGCATATACGCTGCAGTAACTGACGCCTGAGAGATAAAGCTCCTTACCTGAAAAACAACAAACACCAGTTATTAATGTGCTTCTTATAGCACAATAGTGAAGGAGATAATTGTGGAGACTGCCTTCCACCCAGTTCTGTTGTTTTTCCAGGTCTTACCAGACTACCTGAAGGCTTTGCTGGGTGTAGTTCCTCAAGGTAAGCCCAGTGACCAGCATATGCAACAAATTGCCAGACTGGGCGCCCTACAGCATCGTGCCAAGGACGCCATTTACCTGCCCACGCTGTAAATATTCTCCTGATATTGTTTTCAAGCATGAATCATTTTCTTCTGCGTAAACTAAAGAATAAAAACAAGCAAACCAATGCTTATTTTTAAGCATTGGTAGCATATGTGACACATGTGTTACTGTGTCACATATGCAGACACAGTAGCACATGTAATGTAATAAAACCCACTGAATGTTTTTGTGTGTATTTAGCCGCGAGGTGCAGGAATGTGTCCCCTCACAGTTCTACAGCAAACAGGGTTCCCAACAATGGCTGAACATGGTAACGCAGCACATGCAGTACGTCCAGCCTTTAAACCCGCACCAGGCCCGCGCACAGTTCCTGGGTAAGACTTTGTTAATGTGTCCAACGTCTTTAACATTAATCCTTTCATGCATAGCGGTCTCTACCGTGGACAGCTATCTAAAAGCCATTTTCTTTTGCTTCCTGTGGATTTTTATGTTATAAATGCACACAGACCACTAAAGTGGACATGAATGCATCATAAAATACACTATCAACTACTGGCCATCAGCTGCAAATGCAAGAAATTATTTTTGTTAAATCCAATATGGCCGACAGACAAAAAAGCATGCCAAACGACCCGTTCCCTCCTTCTACTGTAGACGACTCTTGCAGCTAAAAAAAATAATGTGACAGCCCCTGAAGAACAATACTACTGATGTATTTTTCAAATAACAACTTTGTATTCCTACCTTTTATTCCTTAAGAAAATTTTAAAAATGGAAAAAAAATTGTGATAAAACATCATAATTCATGCATGAAAGGTTTAAGATGATTCCCCAAGAGACAGTTGTACGTCGATTGGCTCTTATATTGTTGACTGTTTCTTAGATCAGAAACTAATTCAGTAGTTGAAATGTGCCACAGATAATTTTTTTTATAAGAGAATATTATTTCTTATATGGCTGGTTGCATGAGGACATTTGTTTGTGTTTCTCTTCAGGTCTGGTCAGTGCCTTCCCCATGTTTGGCTCCTCTTTCTTCTACATACAGAGTTTGAGCGCTCCATCTATCCAGGCGCCCTGCATCCTGGCTGTGAACCTGAACGGACTGCACTTCCTTAACAAGGACACCCACGTGAGTAAAAGGCTAGCACATCCACAATGTCAGTCAGACATCCACAAAATTTAAATTCATGCTTCACATTACAAAATTGGACAAGTGTAGCGATGGTTATTTACCAGAGCTTTTAAGGAGTTAATACTTTTATTTTACCAAGTTACTTTAAAACGAGACAAATAGTCCATGTGCTGGTGAAGTTGTGTATTTGTTTGCTTGTGTTTATTTAGTGGGTTTCAATAATGGTGTTAGATGTTTAATGATTAAATAAAATTGTACCGATTGTGCATGATCAAAAGTGGACATGGAGTATGGACTGAGGTGCATGAAAACAGAAGAAACTGACAGGCAACATGATTGCTGAACAAGAAATAGGAGGTTGATTGATAACGGGGTGCAGCTGTGAGGGAAGGCAAAGCAGGCAGACTGAGGGACGGTGACTAATCAACAAAGAATAAGCTGAACTGATTCAATTTAGGAACATGAGAAAAAACATACCGACAATAATCTAAGAAAAATACATGAAACACAAAGAAAAACTTTGGAAATAAAGATTAAGGAATAAACTAATATGGCAACACCTTAACAACAATAATAAATATGGATTGTGGAATGGAGTATGGCAACATAAATAATCCACAAGGACATTAACACAAACCCCCCCCCCCAAAACATCCAAGGAATGTGACAGAGGGAACACTGTTTCCCTAAAGATGGTTTTCATTTCCATCTCCTGGCACTTGCTGAGCTCTGTATGCACCATTGGGAGACCGTAAACCACTTGCAAAAAGAAACAAAAACCAGTGGAGAAATGTTTATATTTGTTTGTTATGCTCACTTGTGAGCATGTTTGTGTGGGTGCGATTAGGACGCCATGGTACGTTTCCCGCTGAAGGAGGTACAGTCGACCCGCACCCAGAGACCAACTTCAGGCTCCAGTTATCCGTACGTGGAGATCATGATCGGAGACCTGCTCAACCAGCGAATCACGCAGCTGCAGCTGGAGCAGGTGTGTAACGGTCCTCATAAAAGATGCAGCAATGACCAATACGCAAACATTACATTGCACAAATAAATCTGCTTTCACTTTAACGAGTTGTCTTAAGTTCCATCTCAATCTGTGTTTGTGTGTTTCCCAGGGCCTGGAGCTGTGTCGAGTCATTGCCATGCATATGGAGAACATGCTGTCATTCAGAGAGAAGAGACTCACCTTGCCACCAAGTGAAATCACCCTGCTATAGCACAGAAATCACCATGGATGGACACAAAGATCCTTATTTAGTGCCCCGTGAGGGCACTGTATCTACCTCTAAAATATTTTAATATTTTTATACTCTCATTTTATTTTAGCTAAGATGAAATGTGCATTTATTGAAATTAGATGTGAGTTTACGCTCAGCAAAAGGAAGACGTTCCTCTTGTAGGTGTGCAAAGTGTTTTCTTGGCAGTTTACCGTTCTACTAAAACAGAGATGCAAGTTGAATAACCTACATGTTTAACCTTGCCTTGCTTGACACATTAGCAAATGATCATGCACTGTCTTTCATTAGACTTGAATATGCATTCAAATTCATCCTCATAAATCAGAGTTCTTGTTTATGTGCAGATAGAAGCAGGAGAATGCAACCAACTCAATTCTTTTTTCTTCTCTTTGCCATGTAAACAAAGTCAAATAACTAATCACATGGCACTTCATAGGACCCAGTTTTGGTTAATAAAGTTTGAAGCCACATTAATGAACAGTATGCACTGAATAAATTTCTATTAGTACAATAAGTATTTTATAGAAATGCCTACAATTAATGTATTTGACTAATGCTGGACATTAAAGTTTGTAATATAATCTGTGTGTCTCCTTACCCCTTGAACTTAAATCTCAATGTGTTAAATTTTACTTTAAAATTAAGTGAAAGCAAAATGGTTTCCAACATTTTTTTATTTCTTTACAAATGTTTAATTATAACCGCACAATGATTCACTTTACATAGGCTTTATATTAAATCCCTCATTTACTGGAATGCTTTGGTTTTTTAGTGCGTTTAAAGGCACATTGCCACTATGTCTGAACAATGAAACAGGGAAAATTAAAAATAGTGACAGTTCTTTTCAAACAGTGGAAATAATTTGCTTGCTGACTCAATGGTGAAGGTGACGGTTTGAAAATGGTGACTAAATTGATCTTGTTTTTTCAACATGTACAATTTGGTTTTGTGGCAAAGTAAATCTGGATTTGAAAATCTACCCATTAAGATGAAATAATCTGAAAATCCGGTTATTTATTCAAAATAAAAGAGCCAAATCGTCGGTCTCATTTTCATGAGATACTCAGATAACTGCTTTAAATTTCATTTTGTTCATTAGTTAACAAGTTAAATAAACTTGTTTAGTTAAATAAACCTAATTCAGAACCTTGAATTCTGAATGAGGTTCACTGTAAATCGTTAACCTTACGAGAAATAGGAAAAATAAGTTTCATCGTTTGAATAATCTCCTAAAATTTTAAAGTTTTAAGAGTATTATTCTGATTTGGGGAAGAATTTTTCGAGAATATAATTTTGAGAAATTAATTTTGATCGTATCAGTAAATACAGCGTTTTTCGGTGGCGCAGTCTCAGTTCAGTTGTAATATTGGAGCGCATCAAATCTAATTCAACCACTGATTTTACAACCGCTTGTGCTGCTTTTGTAAATCTCAGGATTATTTTAGTGTGTTGGGCTGTTTTGATTTTAAACTCTCATTGGCTACTTATCCGGGGTTTGCTTAGTTTGTTGTCTTCAACGTGCCTTTCACTATCTCCAACACACGCTTGCAGCGGCGCCGCTGAGTCGGTGTACTCCGTGTTACAGAGCGAGCGCTCCTCTCCGAATTTCTCGGGCGCGTGGGTGTTTCTGAGCGGTTCCTTGCAGATTTCTTTGCCGTCATTGGTTAAGAATGACGAGTTTCGTGTGAACCGGGACAGGGAGGGGGTTGTGGTCAAACCCACAGCGACCTAAACAGCCCCGGGAGGAGAGGAGGGCAGAGAAGAGTTGTCTCGGCAGCAGCTACAGCTGTAGCCCCGCGTTTAAAGCCTGCATGGGCTCGACCGTTAGCTAGCTTAGCATAGTCCGCTGCGCCTCTCCTGCCGCTGATAACTCCGGGCTCGCTCGCGCCGCGTTTTCCCCTCCGTCCCACCCGCTCGCGCCTGCTCCCCACGACCCTCTCCGAAGATGATGAAGTTCAGGTTTCGTCGGCAGGGCACCGACCCGCAAAGAGAAAAGATAAAACAGGAGCTCTTCGCTTTTAACAAGGTAAAGTAACGGGACAAGAGGGGAGGGAGGCAAGCAGGCGGTCCTCGTCTTCTGCAGATCTGAACGGGTCTGTTTTATTAGAAACGGGGGTCGTTGTAGATGGAGATCACTCTGCAGCGTTTAAACTCGCTGCTCGTCTCCGTGCTGCTGATAACGTGCAGTGATTCCCACACAGAGAGACATGACCGCCTCTGATTGATGGGGCTGAGTGCAGACTGGACCCGGACGGGCTTTGTTGATGGCTGTTTGTGGGGTGGCTTCATGTGACCTCCTATCACATTTTACAGCAAAAACAGTTTAGAAATTAAAAAGAAAAACCTTGTGGTGGTAAATACATTCCTGTTTTGATCACTGATGGGGATTATCCGCGATTACAGATAAAGAAGATTGAGTTTTAACAGTTTGATCCAGGAATCATGTTAATGATTAGATATAGATGGGACAGCTTCTCTCTCTCTTTTTCTCACACACACGCACACACACACACACACACACACACACACACACACACACACACACACACACACACACACACACACACACAAACAACACAAGGGATATTTAAACTCATACAGCCCCATGCTTCTGTCAGTCTCGGGGTGAAACTATGACTATGAAGTTCAGCTTCATTTTCTTAGACTGCCTCGTTTTGAATTGTTTTCACTAACTAAAGGTAAAGCTACATCAAAACACGTTGTGTAATGAAGTGTGGCTTTTACTGCAGGATTGCAAAGAATACTCTGGTTTGAAAACGGGAGCTGAAGGAGGACAAAAGCTGTTTCTGCTTTGTGTGTTTGGATCTATGACTTCATAAGAGAACCAAGCTGAAAGGCAGATCTACTATACTTGAAGAATTATTTTCACCTCGTTTAAAACGATAACACGTCACTTTTTTCAAAGGAAAAAAAAATCACCTGAAATTACGTATTACTTCTTAGACGATAGCATTGAGTAATTCCAGTTTCCCATCAGAGACTATTGGTTGTTTCCAAATTTCCCTTACATCCTGAAATCTATGGATCGTTCTCGCATACTGCGGAAACGTTTTACTTAATTTTATTCAGTAAAAAAATATTTTTACTGCAATACAAGGTGTTAATTGAGAATACCTTGTTGCATGCAAGCGTGAAAATACAAGGTAAACGAAAAGATACAACTGGCAAAAATGATTGAGGATAATGAACAGTTCAAATGCAATTGTGCAGATTAGCAAGTGATTATTGGAATAAAAAGACTTAGCAGGAGATGATAAATAGCTTGGGCACTGCTGTGAAACTTGTGATGTCCGTAAAAGGATTTTGCAACAGATCTTTATTTAATTTGGGTTCAGGGAGATGACGCGTTGATTAGGTTTTTGGCCGACAGAATCTCTGAACTGTACTGTGCAGAAATGAGCCAAACCTTCATTGTTGTGGCCTTGAACTCATATTAGGCGAGGCTGAAAGTTCCAGAGAGCGTCCCTATCCAAACATTTCATGTTGAAAGACACATTTAATCAATCCCGGCTCTCCCGAATGGAGCCAGATAAATGCGTAGATCACTTCTGTCATTTAAAATAAACTCCATCCAATTTATATCTGAAAGAAAACTTGAGGAAATACAACATAATTTGATTTTGGCACGTTCTTTCTCATTTCCAGCATCAAAACAATTAGTCGCAGTTGGAAAGCTCTTATGCACTCCATTTGTTTTTCATTACGCTCCCCGACCTCCTCTTCTTTGGCCGCCTGCCTCAGTGTATGAAGTTACCTTTGTGTTTCTATTCTGCTTTCAAATTTGTCCTTTTAAATGTGAAAATATGAGCACTTCAGACTTTAACATTCACATCGGAATGTTAATCCAGTTCCTTTGGTTGTCTTAACCTTCCTGTTTATCTCTATGTGGGATTAATCCGGTGTACATCCGGTATTTCTGTTGAGAGGAGTAATCACCGTTTTGAAGACTGGGTTTGGTGAAACATTCAGGTCTTGATTAGTTCATTACAACACCAACGATCGCCTAGCAACTGTTGTTTACATGCAGAAATCATAACGGTCATAGTGCTTTCCTTGCAACTGATTCACATATTTTCACCTATTTCCAGATTGTGTTGACAACTGCAAACCTTTTTTTTTAAATCATAAGATTTTCGAGAACCATGAATCATATTTGTTTGTTTTTCTTTTATATTAACTCCCTTTTTAGAAATGTGTGGCTGTAATGTAAAATATTACAAAAGTTCCAGGTGTAGGAAAACTTTCACAAGACGCTTCACATGAGCATCGGAAAGGTGACGCTTTTAGATAAACTTATGTGCACATTTATAAATTCTCTTCAGCATTAGAGCTGCACAATATTATTGAACTGGAACTGCTATTGCAATGTTGATGCACTCAAAACCTTAAAGGACTACAATATTTGGATGAAGACAGTATTTAGAGTGACATGCATTCCTGCTCTGCATATTGATTGTTATTTGACTAGGTTGGGAGGATTTTAACTGCCCTTAATGTGCATGTCTAATGGATGTATTTCGTGGCAGAAGTACCCATGCCTACAGAGTGGCGGTGAATGAGAGCAAAGTAAGCACATTTTGATGCACATCCAGCTTTAGCAAGCATGTCTGAACAGCAGCTGAAGAGAAAAGTTAAGACAGGATTTTTCCCACATTGTCCAGATAATCTTTCTAAGCTTCAAAAAAGCTGATGTTGCTAATTTTTCAAAGGAAGACCAACTAATAGTGATGGGGTCTAAAGTGTTTTTTTTATGTTTTGTTGTATTGAGGCAAACAGTTGTCTTAGATTTTAGCCTGAAACGGTTCTTCTTCTCGAGTTTCTCTTCAAATTTCTGAATATTCTTGTTGTTTTTTTCAAACTTTATTGCATTCCTTCGTCTTTTTGGACTCTATTGAATATCCGTGGACGCCGGTCTGTTCATCTAAACAAGATGTCTGCAGAGACACCCTCTAAGTAAATGCCTTTGATAGTGGTTGTGTGTGTGTGTGTGGGTGGTGAGGCACCTCAGTGCCGTGTAGAGTCAGCTCGTCTGAATGTCGTATCATGTTTAAAGTCCACAGACTGTTTGTTTTGTTGGAACAGCACGCTTGTTTTACTGGTCGGTACCAGCTGCTGCGACTGTCACAGAGGTGGTCTGTCCACGGGAGGCGTACTTTGATGTGACTGTATTTGTGTGCAGTCGGCTAAAGGCAGAAAGCGTCGACGCTTTTACTTCACGTCGCTTCCAAGAGGGAGACCTGGGAATGTCTTTTACTCTTTCCAGAATCTGCTCACTTTTTCTCTGCAGCTCTGAGTGCATTCCCAGCTGTCTGCCATGCTGTGCCACGGGCACAAGGGGAAAATAAGCCTGTGAATTGATGTTAATCCCAGTTAACAAGGTCTGCAGAACATGGCAATAAAGTGTTGGGCTGTCATTCAGTGGCCTTTTTTAAAAGTTTCCCCTGACTTTATTAAAGTGGTCCTCCCTTTTAGACGCCTCGCTGAAGAAAAAGTCTTACTTGGAAAATGTGCTTTAGGCGTGTTTATATGGTGCATTGTGTCTTTGCTGTGTCATCTTGTC